TTTTAATTTTCACACTTTAATATTCTATGGTTGATTGTATGGTTAAAATCTCTGATTTGTGTTGTTAATTGCTTCCACATCAAGGGTTGATCTTGTTTGTTTTAAAATATTCAAAAAGATTTTTCTTTTGTTTAAGAATTTTTAAACCCCCCCATTTTAAAATACCAATTAACCCCCCCCCCCCCCCTCTTGGTTAGCTTCGGGCTAGTTCATAAGGGTTTAACAATATTAACAAACTTTCACGTAGGAGTAGTGGTACTCTACACTATTGCTGCCTAACTCGCACTCCACCTATCTGTCATATCTGGGTCTATCGGATCCATAAGAAAATTGCACGGGAAAAAGTTGAACAGACATGCACATTTAAACCAGCATAAATTATGATGTCATAGGACCTAATGATGTTCTTAATATTATAATTAATCAACTCATCTAGCAATAGCAAATAACCATACATGCTATATTTTCTAAAACGTAAAAGTAATATAATCAACTTTCATTTCATCAAGGAATAAATATAATAATCCATCTAAAAAAAATTTACACATCAAAATAGTAAATTGGATTACAAAATTGGTACCTTTTACTCCAAGCTAAGAGAAACTTCTTCTAGACCTGATCTTTTTCATTGGATCATTTTCTTTTCCTAAAACATTAGAAAATAATAGATTAAGCTTAACCAGCACAATATACTCCCTACCTTATCCTTTATAGATAGTAATATACAATGCAAGAATTAAAGAGCATCAAAGAAAAATATAAAGACTTGTGAAGTAACTAGAGTGCAAGCAAAACCTGAATTTGTTATAGTTTCAATGTATACTTGATCTTAGAGCTAGCACTTACACTTTTATAACCATATAACTACTTTCATAGAAGCCTCCAAATGACATATAGAATACTTATTCTGAGAGGGTCACTTACATATCACTTTAATTAACTTTAATTACTTTCAATAGAATTCATATAGAAATTTGGAGTTTACTATACATATTTTAGAATATTTCATAAATTAATTCATTAAAATATTAACTTAAGAAATGTAATAATTATAATGCATAGTTCAAGATGCTTGCTTATATCTCCACTTTCACTTATGCCTCCCTTTACCTGCTACACTTGCATATAATATGTGGGGTTAGATACCCTACTAGATCTGCATCAAGCAAATGGGACTAAAAGAGTACTTATAACATTACTTAACCTCTCACACCCACTTTCACCAAGTTGGGATAGAATCTCTCCCAAATCAGCAACAGACTGATGAGGCTAGAAGAGTACATTTAGAGCCATTAAAACCTAAAATAGAGTTTACTTTTCCACTTTACATAATAGAATATCTCCAATGTAATGTAATGTAGAATATTGTAAATACAATGCAATAATTAATATTGATAAAATATTCAATAAGTGCATGAAAGTCTAGTAAAGTCACATTACTTGCAAAATAGAATACTTATTAAACTTTCCATTTTCAATTTCTAACTTCAGAGAAACATTTGCAAAAATAATTTAATACTTTGATATAACTACTTCACTTGCCAGAAAAGCTTACATTCAATAGTACATTCAAAAAATTATACAAGAAAAATAATCGTTAAAACTCAATTTCGTATAGTCAAATGTTCGTATTAAGAAATGCAATAATATATTAAAAATCACATGGTGTAAACATCATAAATTACAAGAAAAAGTGTATTTTATTCATATCTTCTTATAATCATACTGGAATTAAAATCAGAGATAGTGGTTTAGGAGTATACCTCAAGCTCTAATATATCCCAAATTGGCCTGATGGATAAATCTTGAGTTTCAGCATCGAAATCTCTCTCCCTTCCTTTATCTTTCCTCTTTTCCTCCTCTTTTTCCTCTCTTCTTCTTCTAAAATGGCTCAGCAAATGGTTTTGTAAAATGGTTTTATATATTATTATTAATTAAAAATCACTATCTTGACATAGCACCATGGCGCCCAATTTCTCAGTATCGTTGCACTCCCATAAAATCTTAAAAATTCTCCCATAATGTCATCACCTGAGACATGCACTACAGGAAAAACGCTGAAAATCGGCGGTTTTTTTCGGCGGTTAGTCTAGATTTACCGGCAGTTTTTAATGTTACCGGCGGTCTAACGGTGGTTTG